ATTTTTGTTTTTTATTTTTAATACTTATAAAAAAAATTTACACAAATTCTTAAAATATTAAATCAACAAATCTCATTAAGGAATCAGTTATAAGAAACAAGTTATAATAGAAATCACAATTAATATTATTTATTCAATAAGCCAAAATTACATATTATTATATAAATTACTTGATATCTTTTTCACTTGTTTTAAGGATAAATATGCATATTGTTAAACTAATGAAAACAAAATTAATCAAATTTTTTTGTTAGTCTAAGATCAAAATGAAATAACCAAACTAAATTTTGTCTTAGACTAAATTGCTTTAAAATTTAATTTCATTGGTTCAATTAATTAAATTTAATAATGATAAATGATTGAATAGGTTAATTTGGAAGTAAATTATGCAGACTGACCACGCCTTATTAGTTTTTCTGTTTTAGTGGTTTGGTTGCATGTCTTTATATGTTCCTTTAATGAATAAGAGGGTGGGGCTCTCTCTCTCTCTCCCTCTCTCTCTCTCTCTCTCTTTCTCTCTTTGTATGTGTGTGCTCGTGTGTTAAAACTCCAAGGATACTTAAAAGCTGAATTTAATGAGGATTTATGGAAGATCCAACATAAATACAATTGAATTATTTAAAATGCCAAAATAGCTCTATATATTTCTAAATCTCATTGACATTGATTTAGAGTTCCAAGATTGTATGTAAGGATCGGTAAAGGGATTGAGGTATTATTACATGATGGAAAAGAAGGAAAAATCTAGAGAGAAAAGAAAGCTGGTTGAAAGAGAAAAAAAAGGATTGTTCTGATTATCTCTATGGGTAAACAAAATGAGTGGCAAGGTCGACAACTAGGTAAACCATGTAGATACATAGGAATGTTTTGTTATCTATTATTTACAAGATACAACTTTACCATTTGAAGGAAAAATATTACAACATCTGAATAAGAGAAAATAAATAATATAATATCCAAATAATGCAATCAAAATATCTAATGCTTTAAACCAAATTCTAAACCACATACTTATATTAAGACAAATTAAGTCTCAACTATAATTATACTGATTCCTTTTAGGACGTAGGATCTTGCATCGTTCGTGAGTAAATACAGCTCGATAAAAAATTTTTGTATCGTAGAGAGAAGTGATGAGAGAGAGTGAGATGAATGAAAATCTTTTGAGGGAACTTTAGAAAATATATTAATTTTTGATATCAGGTAGGATGAATGGTAGCGACTCCTTAGAGATCTCTTGATATACGAAATTTTAGAGGAGATAGAAGATGATCTTCAGAGAGGGAGGAAATGAGGAGGATTCTAGGAAAAAAGGAAAGAAGCTCCCTTGTCGAATCGAAAGGCTGAAATCCAACGCTGTTAATGTACAAGAGGATTCACTTTAATTTTTAGAAGTTAACACATAAGGGTTGTTGTAGGTGTTGAGATAGTGTATTAACCACAAAGTTTATGTCCAACCTTAAGAGTGTTAAGTATTGTAGATAGTCGACAAGGTGACGATATTGAAGCAGGTTGGCGAAGAATTGCTACAGTTTAGTTTGGAGAGATTGTGATAATTCCATTGGATTTGGTGTGGTTTTGCAATCTTCCATCCCTACCTTTTGAAGTATCATGGAAGCATAGTGAGTTTGACCAAGGAAAAGGCCAGTTGAAGTGCGGTTTACGCTGATGTCGAGGAATGTAGAAATGGAGCCCAACTTTTTCATTAGAAATTTAACTTGAAGTGCCTCAAGAAGGCTGTTGATGGTACTTGTGTTGTTTTGTCACCAAAATGTCATAGATAGATAAAGATAGTTTAATGCTCATAAATGAAACGTGATGGGTCAGCTTGACTTTTGCAGAATCCCACATGAATTAATTTGCTAGTGAACTTGGTGAACCATTAGCGATGAGATTGCTTGAGACCATAAATTGCTTTCTTTAGTTGACACACATTATTTTTTTTATTTTTGTCAACATAACCAGACGTTTGATGCATGTGCACTCTTTTCTAAAGTTTTTTGTGAAGGAATGCATTAGTGGACGTTAACATCACTTTTTGATGCGTATGTGTGAGATGTTCACATGAGCACAACAGAGTCATGCTTCATGCTTACGTTTTTCCCCATAACAACAAATATTCGTTATCACCTTCCAATGTGTGTTGAGAGGCACACAATCGGGGTTATTTTTTTAAACTTTGGCTTTCACTTAAGTAAATGCATATCGATATTTGGTCAGTCATACAAATTTGATTAGACCAATGGATCTCATTCATCATGTCACATGCGAATCAAACTTATATTAGTTTAATTGTCGAAGAATTTAACCCAACACATTCGAAAAGTTAATTTTACTTATGAAGAATATCCATATTATTATGGATTCGTGCACGAGCCAGTAAAGAGCAATTGAG